ATTTTTTGAGTTGGAGTTTCACTCGGTCGCCCAGACTGGAGTGCAGTGGCTGCTCCCGGCCACTGCAGCCTCGCCTGCTGGGCTCCAGCAATCCTTCCGTCTCAGCCTTCTGAGTAGCCGGAATTACAGGCATGCGCTACCACGCCCGGCTGATTTTTTGATTTATTGTAGAGATGAGGTCTCGCTGCCCAGGCAGGTCTCGAACCCGCAAGCTCAGGCAATCCACTCACCTCAGCCTCCCAAAGGTGCAGGATTACAGGCTGAGCCACCAAGCCCAGCTGGTTTTGAGGTTTAATTGAGAGGGAAACTGTGGTTCAGAATGCTGATTCTAGCATCCATGAACAGGTGTATGAAGCACATTGGAACCTATTTCCGTCTGCCTTACAATCTGTCTATTCAGCAGTATGTAGTCTTGGTCCCTAGATTAAAAAAGGGGGTATAAAAGAGGAAAATAATGGAGAAAGGGGGGGTCAATAGGGAGTTAGAAAGAGAGAAGAGTGAGAGGGAAAACAGATATACATACCAACTATCAGATGAGAAAGAGACACAAGTCTGGAAAGAAGTGAAGAAAGACACGTAAAAAAGATTCCCTAAAGAGTACTGATAGCTACATAGAGACAGGCCAATAAAATCAAGAAACAGTGTATGTCAGAAGGTAAACAACAAACGTGATCAAAACCAACAGATACAATGATAAAATCATAAGTCAAAATAAGCGATCAGACTAAAGCCACTTCTTTGATCTCCGATTCTGGATTCTGGCCTCTCCCTTTTGTTTTTCATTGCTGCATAGGGGTGGGGCTTTGTCTCCTGTTTCACACCATTGCCTCAGGAACTCAGGTAAAGCTTGTTGATAGGTGGGCGGGACAGTGGAAGTCTCTGCCTGGAGAATGGCGAGGCAGTTTATGCAGATCTGTTTTTCTCCACTTCTCTGGGTCCCCCAGCTTGGGGTCTCGCACTGAGTGCCTCAGCCAGGGTGGGCCCGGAGTTCCAGAGCTCCAAAGCTCCAAAGGGTAGGCGGTGAGCGGCAAGAGTGGCTCTGTGCCCCCCAGAGCCACTTCAGCCAGGAATGGGACCAGTGTCTCTGAGGGGCGGGTGCCGAGCCTCCCTGAGTGACCGGCGGCTTGGTGCCGGGTGCCGGGCTGGAGACGATGTAGCCAGGAAGAGAGCTGGAGGGGGCTGGGACCCAAGACTCCCACACACGCAGTGGAACAGCAGCAGCAGGGGGCCGCAATATCTGGCCCTGTGTGGGACCGAAGGTCCCAGGTCCTCACACCAGCATGGCTGGTGGTGTGCTGGGGGATGGGGGAAGAGAAGCAATAGCCTTTTGGGGAACTCACGTTCCGAGAATCTCATCAGTTCACCTATGTTGTCACCTATGCATCTTGTTCCCCTTCCCCTCTCTCTAGGGTTTTCAAGGTACACAATCATGTCATCTGCAAAGAGAGATAACTTGGCTGCCTCTTTTCCTATTTGGATACCCCTGATTGCCTTCTCTTCTCTGATTGCTCTAGCCAGGACTTCTGATACTATATTGAACAGGAGGGGTGAGAGTGGGCATCCTTGTCTTGTTCCCCAGGATCCAATTCTAAGGAGGAAAAAAAAAACAGAATCTAGTGACAAAACAAGCCTCACTCATGTTCAAGAAAAATGGTCATCTAAACTCATCTAGCAGTAATGTAGAATATGAATTTTAAACAACAGTATACTTGAAAGAAAACAATAAATGTATAGGGGGAATTAGCATATGATCACTTAGAATGAGATAATGTAATGAAAAGCTTTATCCTGAAACGAGATATTAACACTGCATAACGTTTAACTCAATTCAATTATTTTGTATATTTACAACACACACATTATAGTAATGCTCTGATAGGAGATTCTCAAGAAATGGTAAATAAGGCTGTTGAGTACTATTTACTTGCCATGAATAAAATAATCACTCTTAGGGAGGAAATATATAGTGTCTGTCCTCCACTTCTAGAAAGGACTAAAACATTCCTAAACTTGTTTTTTTGTTGTTGGTGGTGATTGTTTTTAGTCTCATTCTGTCGCCCAGGCTGGAGTGCAATAGCAGGCTCACAGCCACCACAGCCTCAACCTGCTGTTCTCAGGCAATTCTTCCATCCCAACCCTCCAAGTAGCTGGAACCAGAGGTGTGCACCACCACACCAGACAAATTTTGTGATTTAATGTAGAGACAAGGTCTCGCCAAGTTGCCCAGGCTGGTCTCAAACCCCTGGGCTCAGGCAATCCTCTCACCTCTGCATCCGAAGTGCTGGGATTACAGGCATGAGCCACCACGCTCAGCTGCATTTCTAAACTTTTAAAGTATTAGTTTTGAGGCACTCTACAGACAGTGATGAAAAAACACATACACATTTTAAGAAAGGAAAAAACGTTATTAAAATTGTAATACTCAATATATAGCGAAAACAAAAGATGAATACAAGTCACATTTGACTTCTGCAATTACAAGAGGTGCTCAAAGTTGCCAACAGTGTCCAGACACTTCTGATTATATTGAACTATATAATATTCTAATTATATTGAACAGTGTCCAGACACTTCTGATTATGGCAGGACTTGCTGCTGTGCGAGGCCCTCCAGAACTCCTCTTGTGCCCATCACATACAGCACCATGCGTCTCAAACTTATCACGAATGCATACAATTGGTGGGCGTGTTGCATACTCACACCTCCATTGTCTTACTTCCGCAATGTTTTCAAAGTTCACATACTACTTCAGAATGGTCTTGTGCTCCTCGAATGACAACCATACTTCCACCATTTTCTTTGACTGTCCTACCTATCATGTGGTGACATTTGATTAACTCCATCTTTTGCGTGAATATCATACTACACATTGCTACCATAACTTAACTCAACTTTGAAACGCAATACACAGATAACAGCTCTTAAAATGTGTATACCTTTTTTTGGCACCTCTGGTATGATTAAGAAAATCCAAGAGACTTGCCCATATGAGTTAAGAGGCAACAACATTTGGAGAAGGAAGAAAGCATCATACCCCAGTCCTGCTTTGATATACAAATGCTTTGTGTTCTGTGGGGCCACTAGCTTCATCTCCGAAATGGCTCTAATAATATGCTCAACTTAGTTCACAAAAGATAAGTTAATTCGTATTTGTAAAGTATCTAGTGATACACAGATTATGTTAATAATGCTTTGCAATCTCATAATAACTCTTACCTAAGAACTTCAAGCCTTATAAATGATTACACTGACAATATGCTTTGTTTTTCTTGTTTTATTTATGGGAAGCATGGGCACAATACTAAAAATTTGACCAGGTCACAACAAAATCAATAATAAGTCTCTGAATAGGAGTGGTATATTTCAACTTATCATGCACTGTTCTAAACATAAAACGGTGGTCAGATTACCATTTTGTATGTATTATTTTTAAATACTTTTGGTCAAAAAAATCCACACAGGTCACTAAATATCTTATATCTTTTAGTGGCAACGATGGGGGATATTTTTCAAAGCATTCGCTATCCACACCATTGGGAAAAAAATCTCATTTTGAAAAAAACTGACTGTTTCAAAACTAAACCTGTAATTAGTTAACCAATCAATTTGTACCATTATAAGTGTTAGAGATCTGACCCTGTCTGCCATGTCCACTTGATTATAATAATTTAAATAATTAACATCTACAAAATGTTTGTGCCTGTCAGACTGTTTCATAGTCTTTCATTATTAGAGCTACTCAACATTCATTTGGGACTGTTCAGTGCTATTGTTTTCATCTGCCCAGTAGGAAAATGAAGTATAACTAGACAGGACAACTTCCCAAGGGCATCAAGGCAGGAGAATAGAGTCTACTTCCCTGGGGCAACTCATCTTCTGTCTGGAGTATCATAATTGTTGGTGTTCTATGTAGTGATGAAAACACATCTCTCCTTCATATGTTTTACTCCCCACCGATTAATATGGTACTTGCTTCTCAAAGTAATTCACACTAACTGAAATACATAAACGTAAACCAAAAGGCAGTAAACATTTTGGGGTAGAGGAGTGAACAATTTGGAGGTTCAGAAGTGAGTTGAATCAACGTTCTGCAACTGGGCCAAATCAGTCAGCCTGTAATCCCATGCCTTTGGGAGGCTGAGGTGAGTGGATTGCCTGAGTCCGCGGTTTCAAGACCCACCTGAGCAGCGAGACCTCATCTCTACAATAAATCCCAAAAAAAAAAAAAAAAATCAGCCGGGCGTGGTAGCGCATGCCTGTAATTCCGGCTACTCGGTAGGCTGAGGCAGAAGGATCGCTGGAGCCCAGCAGGCAAGGCTGCAGTGGCCGGGAGTGGCCACTGCACTCCAGTCTGGGTGACAGAGTGAGACTCCAACTCAAAAAAAAAAAAAAAAAAAGAACTCCCAAGACAAAAAATTCTCCATCCACATCATAAACTCGTGAATTTTGGTGAAATTGGAAAGCAGAGCTACAAGACTTCTATTATTTCAGTTTTTAATTCAAGAAATGATAGGTTTCTTTAAAAACCATCCAGGACCAAAAGGTTATTAGATATTGAATGTCTCTGATTTCAATAAGAAAATATACACTCAATAAAGCGAGATAATAAAAATACTCTTTGAGCATTTGCAGGACAAAAGTAGGAGACATTTCTCATCTGAATTATCAATTCTTTGTTATATGAGGGCAAAAACTAAATTCTATTCCAAAGGTCAAAACGATGTAGGTTTACTCATACTTAATTTTGACCTTTGAGACTATGATTTAGGATTACTCCACCTGATACCTTTTTTATGTATTAGAAAAATACCCTTGGGGCACCTTTCCATCTGCAGACTGGACACTATTAAAAATCAACCAATGATGAAAAACAGCAATTAGGGTGCAAGTCAATTTTATTACAGATTGATGTAGGTAGGACTGAAATGACCCAGTGAATTCTATAAAAGGCCAGTGGAGCTGACCTCTGTGGAAGGTGTCCTTTAGCTTTGCTCCTCTCTGGGAAAGGGTCACTCAGCTGTGCTGTCACCATGTCTTTTCGACTTTCTAGCGGAGCCAGGCAGATCTGCTCGCGAGCTGGTTCTGTTAGGCTGTCCGGTGGAGGAACAGGCTTTGTGGCTGGGAACGTGTGTGTTGCATCAGGATCAGGGAGCAGTTTTTCTTGTACTCTCGGGGGCGTTTCTTCTGCAGGAAGCTTCTGCAATGGTGAAGGGGGATCGGGAAGTGGCATCTGTGCAGGCTTTCTTGGCAATGAGCATGGCCTCCTCTCTGGGAATGAGAAGGTGACCATGCAGAATCTCAACGACCGCCTGGCATCCTACCTGGACCATGTGCACGCTCTGGAGGAGGCAAATGCAGACCTGGAGCAGAAGATCAAGGGCTGGTATGAGAAACACGGGCCTGGCTCTTGCCAGGAACACAATCATGACTGTAGCAGATATTTTCCAGTCATTGAAGATCTTAAAAGGCAGGTAAGGAATATGGATTTGTGTACTCTTACTACAGACTTTGGGTGCGCATAACTTAAAGAAGAGAAGAATATAAAATGTGGTTAACAAATGCATACAAGGTGGAATTGGTTCACTCTGTATTCCCAGTGCTCAAGGCCATGCCTAGCAATAAAAATTTATAAAATTAAATAATGCAAAAAAGATTCAAAATAAATAAAATCATTTCATTTTCTTATATTTAACTCATGCCCTTTTAAAAAAATTCAGGGAGTATATGTGCAGGTAAACTAATATACGTAGGTATATTGAGTGATGATGAGGTTTGGGCTTCTGTTGAACCCATCACCCAAATAGTGAACATTGTACCCAACAGGTAGTTTTTCAACTCTTGATCCCCTCTCAATTCTCCCTTTAGGAGTCACCAGTGTCTGTTGTTTTCATCTTTATGTCCATGTGTAGCCAGTGTTTAGATCCCACTTATAAGTAGAACACACTCTTTGGTTTTCTGTTTCTGCATTAATTCACTTAGAATAATGGCTTCCAGCTGAATTCATGTTGCTGCAAAGGACATGATTTTGTTCTTTTTCGTGTCTACATAGTGTTCCATGGTGTATACGTACCATTTTTTTTTTAATCCAGTCCTCCATTGAGGGGCACCTACGTGGGCCCCATGGTTTTGCTATAGTGAAAAATACTGTAATACAAGTACAGGTCTCTTTTTGGTAAAAAAAAAAAAAAAAAAAAAAAACTTACGTTCCTTTGGGTATATACCCAGTAATGGGCTTGCTGGGTTGAGCAGTAATTCCACTTTTAGTTCTTTGAAAAATCTTCACACTGCTCTTCAGAGGGGCTAATCTAGTTTACATCCCCACCAACAGTGTCAGAAGCTTATAGTTTTAGTCACGAGTGAGAAAAGTACCCATGTGGCTCTTAAACTCTGGACATTTATTTCCTGAAGAAAATCCAGATTCCTTTAATGTAGAAAAAAATGACACAAAATAGATGCTTGATGGGGTTAAGCAGATATAGAATCACACTGAAAACTGGACGTCCCTTTGACTTTTGGAACTAACTCTTTGCACAATCTACCCTATTTAGATTATTTCTATGACCACCTGTAATGCCAGCATTGCTCTACAAAACGACAATGCCAGACTGACTGCTGATGACTTCAGACTGAAGTAGGTGAAATCAAAGTAACTGATTATGCTAATTACAGTCAGATTAAAGAACATATCTTTTGCCTTGACAACCAAAATGTTTTCATAAAAACAGACTAGATCAATGCAGAAATTGGATTAAATATGCCCTTATAAAAAGAGCTATTATATATATTTAAAACCTAGCACTATTTTATTTAACTGTTAAATAAAAAATTGTTAAATGTTAAAAATCAACTCCTAAGAAACATCTTCAAAATACAATTTGTAAATTGGTAGATATCTCAAACGGTTTAACAGTTTGCCATTGCAAGAAGCTTCAGAAGCATGTACAGAAAAACCTGTCTTTCACCATATGACATGTCTTTAAAAGTTGGGCTTTGCACTTGCCTACAATTATAATTCTCAAACACCTTAATAACCTCTAAGGTATGAAAATGAGCTTGCTCTGCACCAAAGCGTTGAGGCTGACACCAACGGTCTTCGCAGAGTATTGGATGAGTTGACCCTTTGTACAACTGACCTGGAGATACAGTGTGAGAACCTGAGTGAGGAACTGACATATCTCAAGAAAAATCACGAGGAGGTAAGGAAGCCTGCAGAGGGGCTTTGTAGCACGTCTGGTTTCCTTCGTCAAGTCTGCTGTTCACTTCATAGCAGGGTATCCATCAAAACCCTTCGTTGAGTATTCATACTGATCCCTCTTCCAGGAAATGGAAGTCCTGCAGTGTGCAGCTGGAGGGAACGTGAATGTGGAGATGAATGCAGCCCCAGGAGTGGATCTGACCATTCTGTTGGACAGCATGAGAGCTGAGTATGAGGACTTGGCTGAGCAGAACCGCAAAGATGCCCAGGCCTGGTTCAATGAGAGGGTATGTCTATGGCAAGTTACACATGAAGGGCTTGTTTAGTAGATGATCAAGCTTGGCACTAACTCTTCTGACAATTGCACTTTAGAGTGCAACGCTGCAACAACAGATTTCTGATGATGAGGGGGCAGCCACAGCAGCCAGAAATGAGCTGACGGAGCTGAAACGCAGCATGCAAACCCTGGAAATAGAACTTCAGTCCCTCATGGCGGTGGTATGTAGGAATGACCATTGCTTGATTTTGTGTGTGTGCATATGTATAAGTAAACATGTATATAAAAGTATGTACAACACTAACTATATGTAACTAATTACATAAAACAAAAAATATGAATATACTAAATATCAAGAGTTCTGTCCATAAACATTACTTCTGATTCATCAATCTCAAAACTTGAAAAGTGCCTTTTTTCAATAGAGAGACACTTTTTTAATCTCACTAATTTTTTTTTTTTTTTTAGACAGGGTCTCACTATCTCACCCAAACTGCAGTGCAATGGTGTGATCATAGCTCACTGCAGCCTCAAACTGCTGGGCTCAAGTGATCCTCCCACCTCAGATTCCTGAGTAGCTGGGATTACAGGAACCTGCCATTGCACTCAGCTTTTAAAAAAAAATTTTTGTAGAGCAGCTTCTCGCTATGTTGGCCAGACTGGTCTCAAAATCTTGGGCTCAAGAGGTCCCCCAGCCTCAGTCTCCCAAAGCACTGGGATTACAGGTGTAAGCTACCACACCATGCCTAACCTTAATGTTGATTTTCAACTGAAAATATTTAGGCATTGTACAAATATTTCTTTCAACCTTGAGAATGTTTAAACTAGGAATATGCCATTTCTCTTTTACACATTTGAGCTTTACCTCATTCTTTTTTCAGAAACATTCCTATGAATGCTCCTTGGCCGAGACTGAAGGAAATTACTGCCATCAACTCCAGAAAATTCAGGATCAGATCGGGGCCATGGAGGAGCAGCTGCAGCAGATTCGGACAGAAACAGAAGGCCAGAAGCTAGAGAATGAACAGCTTCTTGATATCAAAATATTTTTGGAAAAAGAAATTGAAATGTATTGCAACTTGCTAGATGGAGAAGAACGGTTAAGTATTAACTTATGAAAAAATTCTTAATCAGCTAGGTTTTCTCACTATATAGGTACATCGATATTGCACTCCAGAATTTCCTACTGTAAAGATCGTACCCATCTATATCCTCAGGAATGAACATTATTATTTCATCCAAGTGAAATGAAAGAAGGCAGAAATTTGAAAACCAAATTTCTAAGTACACAAAGTATGAGAGGGGACCAAAAACAAGTCCTGGAATTATGTTTTGGAGGGTAGGCCCCTTGTAGTACAGGCCTTTCCCACTAGGTAAGTGTTCTAGAAACCCATCAGCATCAGGGTATCAGCTGTGTTTGGCTTCAGTGAATTTTTTTTTTAGAAGATTCTTTCTTTTTTTTTCAGGGGTTCAATTTCTCTTTTTGTTTTATTTTTATTTTATTTTAAAGATGGGGGTACAATTCAGGATTAAGTGTACAAGTGGTCGTCGTACAGGTAAAGTTTGGGCCTTCCTTTGGTCCCCCTGGTTTGAGATCAGGTACCCTTATTAATGTTGTGCTCCCTCCCATCCCTGGCAGTATGCCACTACCACCAATCCCTTTCTTAGAGTATTATGGTAAATGTTCAGGGTCCACTTAAGAGTGAGAACATGTGGTACTCAGTTAGTTGTTTCTGTAATAGATCACTGGGTAATAGACTCTAAATCCATCCAAGTTGCTGCAAAGTCCATATGTTTGTCCTTCTTTATGATTGCATAATATTCCATCATATATATGTACCACATTTTTTTATCCAGTTCAGTTTTGATGGACAGCATGGTTGGTTCCATGTTTTTGCTATTGTGAATAGTGCTGCAATAAACATGCATGTGCAGGTATCTTTTTTGTAGAAATATTTGAGTTCCTGTGGGTATATTCCCATTGGAGGATTGCTGGGTCATATGGAAAGTCAATTTCTAGTTTTTTTAGAAATCACCACACTGTTTTCCATAGAGGTTAAACTAGTTTGCATTCCCACCAACAGTATAGAAGAGTTCCCTTTTCTCTGCACTCTCGCCAGCATCTGTTGTTGTTTGTTTTATTAATGATGACCATTCTTATTGGGGTTAGGTGGCATCTCAGTGTGGTTTTGACTTGCATTTCTTTGATGATTAGTGAGGCTGAGCACTTTTTCATGTATCTGTTAGCTGCCTGTATATCTTCTTTTGAGAAGTGTCTATTCGTGTCTTTTGCCCACTTTTTAACAGGGCTGTTTGTTTTTTGCCTTCTGGCACTTTTGAGTTCCTTGCAGATCCTAGATGTTAGGCCTTTGTCAGATATACAGTTGGCAAATATATTTTTCCCATTCTGTGGGCTGTCTCCCCACTCTCTTGATGGTTTCTTTTGCTTTGCAGAAACTTCAGTTTAATGAGGTCCCACTTGTCTATCTTATCTCTCATGGCATGGACATCTGGGGTTTTGATCAGGAATTGGTTGCCTACTCTGAGTTCCATAAGGGTGTCTCCTGCATTTTCTAAGATTCTTATAGTTTGAGGTTTTACATTTAGGTCTTTGATCCATTCAGAGTTAATTTCTGTGTATGGTGATAGGGAGAGATCCCGTTTCAATCTTCTTCATATGATCAGTCAGTTTTCCCAGCACCATTTACTGCATATGTTCTCCTCACCCCAGTGGTTGTTGGTGGAAACTATCAAAGACGAGTTGGTTGAGAAATTGAGGCTTTGCTTCTGGAATCTCTATCCTGTTCCATTGGTTTATATGCTTGTTCATGTACTAATATCAGACTGTTTTGATTATTGTAGCCTTAAAGTTTAAAATCTGGAAGTGTGATACCTCCCTCTTTGGTTCTTTTGCTGAGGATTGTTTTGGCTGTTCATGGTCATTTGTGTTTCCATATGAATTTCTGTATTAAAATTTCCAGGAGTGAGAAGAATGATGTTGAGAATTTAATGGGTATTGTGTTGAATCTGTAGGGGGCTTTTATTTTTATTTTTTATTTTTTTGGGGTTGGAGTCTCACTCTGTCGCCCAGACTGGAGTGCAGTGGCTGCTCCCGGCCACCGCAGCCTCCACCTGCTGGGCTCCGGTGATCCTTCCGCCTCAGCCTTCTGAGTAGTCGGAATTACAGGCATGCGCCACCACGCCCGGCTGTTTTTTTTATTTATTGTAGAGATGAGGTCTCGCTGCCCAGGCGGGTCTCGAACCCGCGGGCTCAGGCAATTCACTCACCTCAGCCTCCCAAAGGCGCGGGATTACAGGCTGAGCCACGGAGCCCGGCTGTAGGGGGCTTTTAGTAGGATGGACATTTTAACAAAGTTAATTCTTCTTATCCATGAGGATGGACTATGTTTCCATTTGTTTGTGTCTTCTTGGATCTCTTTGAGCAGTGTTTTGCAGTTTTCATTGTAAGGATCTTTCACTTCTCTGGTTAGGAAGATGCCAAGGTATTTCATTTTTTTGGTGGCTATCGTGAATGGGATTGTGCTTTTTATTTGGTTCTCTGCTTATTTGTTGTTGGTATATGCGACTGTCTTTTGCACATATATTTTGTACCCTGAGATTTTGCTAAAGTCTTTTATCAGTGCAAGGAGGTTTTTGATAGATTCTCTTGAATTTTTGCAGTATGGAGATTTTTTCAACACTTTCGCCCATTTCATGATAGGTGATTTACAAGCATACCTGCCCACACTACGATAAGTGTTCAGCAGTTTTTGACCCAAAATGACATGACCCCCCAATGCCCCACCCTCCCTATTCACCCAATCTCACCCTGAGTGACTTTCTGTTTTATTTTCTGGATGAAAAAGTCCTCAAATGAAAAGGTTTTGCTGATGTGGAAGAGGAAAAGCAAAAAATGACAGAAGCACTAAAAGGCATAAAATCAGTGAGTTCAAAAACCGTTTTGAGCAGTAGAAAAGCATCTCAATAGGTGTAGTGCATCAAATGGAGAGTATTCTAGGGATGACTGAAGTTTAAACATATAAGAATAAATACACAATTTCTATAAATAAATTCTGGATATTTTGGGAATCCCTCCCTCGTATTTGTATGTATACTAATTTAAAGAGCATTTAAGTATAGCATACGTAACAGTTCCAGTACTCCACTCCAAGGAAAAGGTGCTTTCATGATTTAGTGTGTAAGCACATTTCTTATGCTAACTCATTCTCTTTTATCATTACTTCACTAGTAACCCCACACACACCCTGTATTAAAGATTAGCAATAAAGAGGTAGGAAGATTTCACTAGAGAGGCACCACAGTTTGTTAGCCAATAGCAACAGCCTTGGAAATACAGCCCTTGGTGTGAACCACATACTGGGTGCATATGAGCACATTATCCCAGTTCCTCATTAGTGAAACTGTGATAACACCAAAACCATACTCAACTTCTCTTAACTATAGTTCTTCACTATGTAGGTAAAGTGCTTGTGACAGTGGCTTACACACAGAAGGTACTCAGTGATCAGTGGCTAGAACTAAATACCTGCCATGGCCACACCAAAGGGAGGTGACATCTTATGCACACTCCAAGGCCAGGGTCAGCCTCTTCTCACAAGAACCCAGCAGGGATTGCTCCCTTTTCAGAACAAAGTACTTATGACACAATTCATTGTTCACTTAATTGACAGCACCTTTCTTACCATGTTCTAGGTAACTTTTTACATGAGTAGATTTTATTTCCAACAGTAGAAACTGCCTGTGTCATAATTCTGTTTTCTGCAGCACCTAGCCCAGTGCCTTCCACTCAGTTGGCACCCCAAACACATTCGTTGGCCAGTTGATTGACAAGTCAGAGTGAGAACTTGAAGTCCCCATATCACTAGATGAAAAAGATAATATCTGGCCATGAGGAAATTTCTGATCATAAGCATCCATTTAATATCTTCTTTCACTCTGATAGTCATGAAAACTTACTCATGTTCCTTAAACATAAGAGGAATTTGAATCTTATTGACACTGGAATTATAAAACTTTTATTCTCAATTCAGAGTAATCTATGAGTTCCCTAATAAAAGGAAAAAACGCAATAATTTACTCTTCTTTTTACAGAGAAAGTAAATCTACATGTTACCCATCAAAAGGATGCAGGTCTGTAAATTCTGGAAAGCAAATTAAAGGTATAGAAAGTTTTTTACTTTGTGTAACGCTTTTAAACTTCAGTAGTTGTATTAAATAAGTCACTTATTAACTAAATGAAATTTGTTTTTAAGTTTAATTCTATTGAATGAAGGAACAGGGGGTCATTATGGAAGTTCTCAATATTAGTGTTTTATATGCCTGTAGAACAGATATGATCAAATTATGAAGTTACTGAGATGAGACATCAATCCCCAACATCTTTCTTACTTGAAATGTATTGTTTTTCACAGTTTCAATGCTTTGATAAGAGAGCTACTTTATTTTGAACCACAATAATAGAAGAAGTTGACTTTAAAAAAAGACAACAGCATGGCACGGTGGCTCATGCCTGTAAATCCAGCACTTTGGGAGGCAGAGGCAAGAAGATTGCCTTAACTCAGGGGTTGGAGACCAGCCTGAGCATTTTAGCAAGATCTCATCTCTACAGTTAAAAAAAAAATTAGCGAAAAGAAAAAGAAAAAAAAAAAAATACAAGCAATTCTGAACAAATAATCACAAAAAAAAAAAAAAAAATTAGCCAGGCTGGTGGCACACACATCTGTAGTTCCAGCTCCCTGGAAAGCTAAGGTGGAAGGAAGACTTGAGCCCAGAAGATTGAGGCTGCAGAGGCTGTGATCATGCCACTGCACTCTACCTTGCATGACAGAGTGAGACTCTGACCCAAAAAAAAGAGAAAGAGAGAACACAATTGCAGCCATCCTATACTTGCCTGATATCTAGTTTGCTTTAATCTCTGCTTTATTTACATTTTCAAATACCATTGCTCTAAAAAACAGTAGTAAATACTGTATAAGAAAGATAGTCCAGGGCTTTGCTATGCATTGACTTCAAGCACGGTAATATAGATCAATTTACTGCAAACTTGCAAAAAACATTTTTTAAAAGCATACCTGTCATGACTAAACACCTTCAATTGTTAAGAATGATCACTAAAACTTTACTTATTTTATTTAGACTCAACAGAAGAAACTGTTGTCAAAGCAGTGGTTGAGGAACTAGACCAACTTGGCAACGTCCTTTCACTGAGAGTTCACGCCATTGAAGAAAAGTCCTCTAAAATAAGTAACATTACCGTGGAGCAACGAATACCTTCTAAAGCACCATAATGAGGAAAAAGTTATTTAACCAAAATAATCCAGTCTTGCAAAATTCTATTGGTCAGATATCCCAAGGAAATTATTCATTTCTGTTCTTAAAAACAAAAAGGCTAGAAATTATTTTCCTTCTCTTCCTTTTCTCATATTCTTTGCGTGAAACCCTTTTCAAGAGAAAAAAAAAATCTTACTCTGTCCCTAATTTGTGTTTTTACTTTGGGGGCCTTTTCTTGCCATTTCATTAAAATGTTTTCTGTTGCAAGTTATTCTTTTATAAATCTGGGTTGTTGTTCCTTTTTTTTTTTAAATTTCCACTGTTGACCTCAAAAAGACAATCCTAAGGATATGCTAATAAAACAATGTGCTTTTCATAGTCACATTTACCTCATATTGCACAATATTTATTAAGTCCTGGTCACTGGATGCTCCCTCTCTTAGGTTATAGTTTCCCTCACTATGCTTCATTACTCCCTCATTCTAGCTAGTAGGGTCACTCAGAGGCTCTATCTCCCAGGAATGAGAGGATTAGAGCCACATCCTCTCTCAAGACGCTTGAACAACTCAGCATCTTACACACACAGTGTTGGACCTTCTTTCTTTTGTGACCACCAGTGCTAGTCACTTCTTCTTGTTCCCCAGTAGAATTCCTATTCTCTCAAAAAAATAATCTGACTAACCTCCATTTTTCTGTATCCACCCTTTCTTATTTAAACAAATACACTTGCCTATCTATGAAGGGGTTCAGCCCCTTGCCCGGACGTGTGGTTTCCTGAAGGAAAGATGGATAGGCGAAAGACGAAAATATTATACTCGGACACCTGCTTCCTGAACAGATGACAACTTAATGTTAGTTAACACAGAGCTTTTATACCATTCATAAACGGGGAAAACAAAGAAAATTCCTTCACGTACATATGCTTTAAAAGTTACCACCATCTAGCGGTCTAGAAGCGACAAACAAGCCAAGAACACTATCTACTTTTAGTTAATATGTCCTTATCATAAAGCCAAAAATGATAGTTTTAGTTCAAAGTTCCGAATTACCGTCCTTGAAATATCTCAAGAAAGTTTACAAGTGCAAAGTTCTTCATGTAGCAGTAGTTTTCCCATCTGGGGCTTCTATGACCTTCAGAGCTTTGTAATCGCCTCTCTTGTCCAGGTGTCTTTGTTACTTTTCTCTTATCCTGCAGTGTTTGTTTCTAAAGAGAACTCAAAAGAAGTTTCTAGTAATGTTTCCCAGGCCCCAAAGGTTGCTTTCTGTCTTTAGCTAATCTATTATAAAAGTGTCTGATTAGTATATTATGAGTTCAGTGAAAACCCACTCTATAAATGTTAACTTAGAGTTTTAACTATTGAATTAAGTAAAAACCTTAACGATTAATCTTTATCCTAAGTCAGTGAAAACAGTGTTATAAATCACCTACATAACTCCTAGATAAGTGTTAGAACTTATAATGAATTCATAATGAACTTACTATAAACTTGTGCTTCTAAAAAACCTTATGTCTAAACAGTAAACTACATAATTCTAAATCAAATAAGGAGTGAATATACTTATATCATTTTTTACTCAAGCAATATCTAGTAACTTATAACCAAGTGAAAGAAAGCATTCTTGATGTGCTTCAGAGTTTAACCCTTGCATATGTTAGAAAAGGCCAAACGGCATAGTGGGAAATGGAAAAATAAACCATGACATTTCCAGGTTAGCTGTGAGTGCTTCACATAAACATACCATTTTCTTCTTCCACAACTGCACGGAATTCTACGGCGGTACCAAACAGCAAAGGTGGAAGACAGAAGGGCCTCAGCTTCCCGGGCTCACCCTGCAGCCCGAGGTCTTCGGCCCACCAGGATCCTGTCAATCAGGTGGGCCTCCAAGGCTGGCTCCCAACATCTCCCCCTTTTTTGTTTTTTAATATGAAGCCATGAAATTCCGTGTTTAGTCGAGAGATGTTATCTTTTTAATGATTTGAAGATTACTGAAAGTAAGCATAATAATAGCAAGATTATTCCTCCACAAATTCCCACATTGATTAATATAGACAATAATGATTTTTGATTGATAAATGAAGAAACATTGTTAAAGATTGACTGAGCCAATTGGGGGACTCAAATTGTTTTTCAGTCGAATTAATGTCCTATATTTTTTGATGAAGTTTAGAAAAATTTATACTTAGGTTCAAATGATTCCAAATCCCAAGGATATGGTTTTTTATTTTGTATCAAGTATGAACGGATTTAACTATCTGTAAGGGAGTAACACAAATTCATTTAAACTCTGAATGGCATCGCAGAGCCAATTTAATTTTCAAGGCTACAAGTTCTTGTCCTATAATCAAGATAGCCTCTTCTAATGCATTAACTTTACTTTCTAATTTTTGGTCAATAATTTCTTGAGCGGCTAAAGCTAATGAGACATTTTCGGATAACTGATCTGTAAATGTAGCAGTATGTACTTCTTTAGTTAAAGCTACGGCTGAAACTGAGACTGAAGTAGCTATAGTTGTTAAAGCTGTAATTTCTAAAATCAAAGTTGCTATAAATCTTTTTGGCCTTGACAACAATGAGTTAACCTCATATCTAAACACTAAACTATATACATCATACCAAAGAGATGCAAGATTTACGGGAACCATCAAATAAGAAGGCTGTTTAAGAATCATAAATTCTCTATATGAATTAGAAAAAGTAAGACAATTAGTTAATTTACAATTTATGCAAGTAGTTTGATTTTTTAGGTAAACTAAAACATATTGGAGGAGAACTAGAACAACCTAAAAAGAATAATTATGATTGATTACAGTTTTGACCCACGATGAAAAAAGAGTGGGGCCTTTTAATAAAGAAGAATGATCAGTAAAAACAGTAATAATCTTAGTATCCCACGTAACAGGCTGGAACACTGGAGGGTTTGGGATATAAGCCCAATAAGATTTTTTTTTTTTTTAAATAAATACAACCCACCTGGCTTGCTATAATAGCCAGTATAGCAATAAAAACAGTAGAGAGAATAAGAGAAGTAGTTTGAAACTGAACCAAGTCCTTTGCATCACGTGTTAGCACCTTCAGCTGTCCCCAAGTTGGTGGTTTGCAGGTTTTCGCAGCACTGTTGTGGGGGTGGGAAGCCGGACATTTCTAATGAGGCGGTCTGGAACCCAAATAGGTGAAGTAAACTTTAGGCATTCTGATGATGAAGAGCATGGGAAGCGGTAGCTGCTAGTAAAAGAAAAACAAAAAATTACATAGCCTCATTAGTAAGAGCATTGCCTTTAGATAATGGACCAAGGAAGGGTAGAATGAGTATGAATAATGAGTAGCATAAACAGGTTCTGTGCTGGCACAAATATGTAATCGAATGGTTTATAAAAGAACAATTATGTTAGTGGGGGAGAAGGAAGAGACAGCATGAAGACTAGCAGTTTTTAAATGACACAGTACACCTGTAACATAATGTTAGTGTCGAGATTAAAATTTTTTTGTAAAGACCTGGCAAGCTGCAAACAGCTTAACTCATTGAGTGGAATTATAATCTGTTTGAAAACAAGAAATAACACCGTTAATAACAGTAACACCATTAATAACAGTAACTGTTGTTTCAGAAGAGGAGCCATCTGTAAAAACCAAGCTAGCGTTTTATGGAGGTTGAGCACTGGTAACCTGAAGAAAGATAAAAGAATGATTTTTTGCAAAAGTAAGAAGTGGAGAAGGAGGATAGTGGGAGTCCACTTGCCCAGTAAAGTGGGCTACAGCTAATTGTCACACAGGGCACATTTTACAAAGTCAAGTTATTTGAAGAGCAGTGTAAGGTATTACAATTAAAACAGGCTTATGGCCAAAAAGCTTCCTGGCTTTTACGTACCATGTTTGACATACTTAATTCATTTTTCTTTATGTTTGAACCTTCTATTTTTGTTTTATACCCTTTTTTCTCTTCCTTTCCCTTTCCTTTTTTTTTCCCCAACCAGCCATTCACCATAAAACAAAAATGGAACACATAAGACTTTTTCCTATACAATTATTTCTCTTTTTTTAATTTTTTTTTAATTAAAAACATACCCTATACCAAACATCTTTTTTATACTTTTCTTGACCTCAGAGCTATAACTAAAGCAATAAGTG